GCCTCCCATGTAAGACGGAAAACAGTGATCTTCATCGAATAATGAATGAGAAAATGAAAAATATCAATGAGATTGATCATCCCTACTTCATTTTATGCATTATTTTCTGATTCACTTATAGATCTGGAGGTTATTAGCCTTGACCAAGATTTACCTCTTCATTCTCTTTGATTGATTTGTACAAAAAGGTTCCAATATCATTTGAGTCAAACAGAAACCGTCTAATACTTTCTTTTTTTGCTTATAAATGAAACAAAATGAAGATTTATATAGCCGACCCTTTGTTTGCTTGAAATTGAGTAGTTTATCATGAGAGATTTGGTTATACTCGTACAACACTTGGGCTTTATTGTCTCTTTTTGGTTGCCAGGAGAATTGTCATTAAAGTGGGACAACCGAAAAACATTTGTAGCCAACTAGGGAAAATGCTCCAATTTCTTTATTCACATTAAAAACATAATAACACAATGTTGTTAATAAATAACACAATGTTCATTAAATAACATAATAATAAATGTTTAAAATAGTAGCGACTGACATAGATTAAAATTGAAAATACATTAAATAACATAATGGGATGAAAAAATTACAACAATAATCTAATACTCTGGTAGGTTGCTTCCAGATCTACCAATATCATTAAAATATTGAGTGTATAAGGCATATGATTGTTGTGGTTGTTGAAATTGTTGACTTCTTTTATCCATTATTCGTTTTGTTCTTGCCTAATAAATTCACGAACATTTGGATCATCAACTGAATCTAAATTCGACAATAAAATTTATTTTTTTTCTTTAAATTCTTTTAGTTTCAAAGCTTATCTTTTATCTCCATATTTCGATGCCTGTCTGCACTTGATTTTGCCAATAACTCAACAAGCCGAATGTTTTCTGATTGGACCATTTTTATAGCCGATGAAAAAGATCCTCAATTTACACTTTGTAATGCATTAATGGGCATTTATGAGAGCGACATACTAATCCTGTAAGCTGATTATTTATGTAGTAATTAAACTAAATTTTACCATAATATAATATTTATTTAATTGTACCTTATCAATGATTTCATTTTTATTTGCATTATTCATTAATACGTATAATGTATAATATTTGCTTATAATTTATATTATTTAAATATTTATGGTATAAAATAATTTTATATTAAATAATTATATAAGAAAGAAACATGAATTATATGGGATATATATGTAAAAAAGAAAAATGAAAGGATTTGTTTTATGAAATAAAAATACATTTAAATATATAAAAATATAATATAAAAGAGAGAGAGAAGAATATAAAAGGAATATTCATTTTTGATGTAAGAAATTAATATAATAGATTGGAGTTAATTTGCACTATTTTGGTGTTTACACCATTTTGGAGTAAAAAAATGGTGCAAGGGTTTGGGATGCCCTTAGTAATTACACACGCAGCTTTAAAATGAAATCCTTGAAGCATGTGTTTTCATCTTCCTCTTCTTTGCTTTTTTCTTTTACCAAATTTTAAAGTTAATATTTTACATTTTAAAAATAACAAACTAGCTAAACTACTGGGAAAGTTGGACGATTTTCCAAACTCCAAAATTTAAGAAAATGGAGTAGATTCATCCTGCCATCAAACAGCTAAGAATACTTTTATCACATATTTAATTGCCATCAGCTGAAATTTTAAAGTTGCAGAGCTCAAATCAAGTAAACATTAATGCATGATAATGCACTTGTTATAAAAGTTGGGTTTTGAAATAAAGAAAGTTCCTTACCAATCAATCAAGTATGCTTACTTAAAACCAGAGTACATTCTTGGGGGGGAAATAACATATACAGGGAGTTGTAGGAATAATAAAGTACTCCTCTGTTTCAGTTTATGTGAATATATTTTCTTTTTGGTCCATTCCAGAAAGAATGAATCCTTTCTAAATTTGGAAATAATTTAATTTAAACTTACAATTCTACCCTTAATGAGAAGTTTTTATAACCATACAAATACTCTGGACCCTTTTTGACTTGTTTAGGACTACAAATTTCAAAAGTCTTATTTTTTTAAACTTCATGCCTAGTCAAACAGATTCACATAAATTGAAACGGAGGGAGTAAGATATATTTAGACATGGAACACAAGAGAGAACGCGTATAGTTACAGTTGAAGCATTGAGTATAGTATGGTGCTCTCAGATAATGCACAATTACTGACGAGGTCAATGTGTATTAAAATTTCCTGCTCGTACTTTGTCAAATTCTAATATAGTTTAAGATATCGTCTCACAGAGACTTGATAATCTATGCTACATATTTTTAATATTTTAACTACTATTTGAGAGAATCAAATTGATGAAAAGTGAGTGAGATTTAAAACTTGTTAATTACTTAAACAAAATTAATATTTTTGGAAGATTTATAATTTAAAAAGGAAGAGTTGGGAATCATTGAATTCAGTTGATAATATTACTATAATAAAATCTCAATTTCTACATTTATTTCTCTAAAGAATAATTGTTTATTTCTAATACAATTATATTTTGCTCACTAAGAAATAATCAATTAATAACACTCCATGAGAATTATGTTAATTAATCAATTTAAGACTAGTGACGTTTAAACCGAAATATTTTTCTTGCTTGAATTGTGCTAAAAGAAAGTAAAAACTTCGTGAGATATTTTTACTAAGGATCAATAGTCTTGCCTACAACAATTCCTCCGTGAGAATTAAAACTGAGGCAAGCAAGATTACTGACTTGAAATGATAGTTTACTGAAAAATTACTTTCATTCTACTGTTTTATTCATCAGTTATTATATATTAACTTTGCTCTGCGAGAATTACAAAATTAATATATGAATAACTTAGAGATAAAATATATTAGACGTGATAATAGAGTAATTAGAAACCATCATTTCAGCACAGTATGAAATGTAAATAAAAAGTTTCAAGCCAAGAATATAAAAACTGAGATAGTATTATAAAGTATATCAAGCTTCATCAACTATCCCAACGAAAAGAGATTACTCCATTATGGAGTAAGAAAAACTAAAAAAGATATTTAGAAGACTAGAAATATTTAAAAGACTAAGGAAATATTTTTACTACAAAGAAAGAATACCAAGACTAGTTCTTGTCATATAAAGATTGAATATGCTTATACAAAGAGAGCTTGCTATTTATAGGAAAAGATGAGTAGCTTTTGTCATGTTCCACTTTTGCGAATGTGAAATCCATGCATGCGAAGTGACCTTTGTGTATGTAGATTCCATATATGCAACTATGGCACTTGTGCTTCACTCTTGACATCATGAGTTAGTCTTGCAAATGTAGGTTTCATGTATGCGAATGTGACCTTTGCAAATATAGATTCCACACATGCATATATGACTCTTTTGCTTCCATTCTTGACTTCATGGGTTAGATTTGCAAATGTAGGTTCTATATATGCAAATGTGACCTTTTTGTATATAGATTCCACATATGCATCTATAGCTCTTTTGCTTCCATTCATGACTTCATGGGTTAGACTTGCAAATGTAGGTTCCATGTATGCGAATGTGACTTTGCGTATATAGATTCCATATATACAAATATGCTCCTTTTCATCTCTAATTGTCTCTTTCCATAAGCCCATATGTGTATTTCACATTTGCGAATATGAACATGATGTGTGCAACTGTGGCTTTGCTTCATTCTCTTGTCTTTTAGCTTCTTTCCTTATTTTTCATAAATTTTTTTTCCTACAAGATTTGTTAGAAAATATGCAAGGATAGGATATTGTTATTCATATTTTATTTTAAAAACTTATGTTTTTCATATGAAATTACATGAATAATTTCAATCCATCAATTACTAAAAAGAGCTCAATCTGAGTTTGATTAATGAGAATGTAACTCAAGATAAAGTAAGTATTGAAGGCCACACCGGAGGCAAAATTTGACCTACCCACTTTTCCTTGAGCGCATTGTCCATTTTAGTTTTAACTCATTTACTAAATTTAAAATTAGTTTTATTTTTAGGAAAATTTAATCGATTTAAGTTTAATATTGTAGAAGCTATATCAATATATCGTAAGTTGCTTTGAGAAACCAAGAATGTATTACAGCCTGTTTGGCCAAGCTTCTCCCATCCTAGAAGCACTTTTTTTTCTTTAAAAAAAAAAATTCAAAGTTGAAGTGTTCGGCTAAACTTTTGAAAGGAAAAAAAATACTTTTGAGGAGAAGCAGAAATAATTTTGGAGAAGCAGCAAAAAAATTATTTCTCTCCAAAAGCACTTTTTTGAAAAACACTTTTGAGAAAAATACACTGAGAAGCAGTTTTTAAAAGCTTGGCCAAACACCAATTGCTACTCAGAAGTGCTTTTCAAATTAATTAGCCAAGCACAAACTGCTTCTCACCAAAAGTACTTTTGAGAAAAACACATCTCAAAATAAACTGATTTTTGCAATTTGGCCAAACATGCTATTAGTTAGTTTTTTCAAATCTATCCATCCAATAAATAATCTAAAAGAAAATAAGGATATATAAAGAGTAATTTGAAAAGATATAAAAGATAACTCAATTAAAATTCTTCTATTAAATGATTTTCTTAATAGATCTGCTAAACCTTAAATTTGAATTGGAGAGGGAAATAATGTTACCTGAGAACCTATTTATAATTATTTTAATTTTCTTTCTTTATTTTGACAAATCTACTAAGCAGAGCTCCCAAGGCTAATTTTTATATTATTTTAAATAACTTGGAATAAGCTCCTTTTAAAATTATTAAAAATTAAAAATTAATCATGAAACAAGCTCCTTTTAAAATTTATTTATACTCCATTGTTTAGCAGTGTTATTGGGCCCGTGGGCAGCAGGGCCTATCCATACTAGTATATTTTCTAATCAAGAAAGTAAAGAGGAAAGAAAAGATAAATTAACAATTCCGGTCATGGTAGCAAGTATGCTACATGACGTGCAGCACCAATCAGAGATCTCTGCACTCTCAATAGAGAGATGCTGCCATATAGCGAAACCCAAGTCAATCACAAACCATGAATAAATTGCATAAGTACATCATTCATTCCAGCCGAATGAATTTGCAAAGTTCTCATCATCAATATTTGAAATTTATGAGTATGAAAAGAACTAGTGATAGAGATAAGAGTCATGATGATCATAAAGTTCACACATTCATGGCATACTAACCCTGACAAATGTCTGGGATTTGCAGAAGAGCAAAATACATCACATAAATAACTGGACAGTCCAGCCAACAAAGCAAACATTGACAAACAAAATATATCTCAAACTTGCCAACTTTTATTTTGTAGTAGTTCTTAGTATGGCATAACTCTGGTTCGGATGATTAAAGCACACTGCTCAATCATCATAGTGTTTGCGGTGGTGGTGCTTGTGGTGATGTTTCTTCTCCTCGTCATCATCGGAGTCGTCATCACCCTGCCATTCATACAGATTAGATTAGACGGATCAGAGGAGAGTTCAAATGAGGTCAAATCTTAAGACCAAAACAAGCTCCTCCAGACAAGCTTAAAGCACAGTGCCTAATGCAATTCGTCAGATGCTTAACATGCGTGTGGATTTTGCATAATGCACATCCTTGACAGTCACAAATGTGTCCAACACACTCGGAAGGTTCTCAAACTTTACAATATGGTGATACATGCCTGCGGTGACAAAGCTACATCTATAATAAAGGGGATTAATTTTGTTCCTTTTTAATGAAATAGGTAATATAATAAAGGGAGTTCGATTGAAGCCTCTTCGCCGGACAATTAGGCTTTGCAAATTGGGTAAAAACAAATCTCTTGTATATAATATATAAGATTTTGAATACCTTTGACGTAAGACAAGATTTTAGTGTAGTGGCAAAGGTGATAAAAGAGTTGTTTTAGGTTGCAAGTTCGAACCCTAAATGTGGCATTCTTGAATGTTTTAAAATACTCTTGTTAGAATTAATGGGCTTGACCATTGCGTGCTTAGTCCGTCAAATGCTTGAAGGCTAACCACTATCTTTTTCTTCCTTACCTTTTGACAAAGGTGTAGATTAAGAGTGAATGCACACAACAGGGAGCTACTTACAATGAGCCAAGACAGGCATCTAGAGCCGTCAATATGGGCTTAGCCCGTTGGGCCAGCCCAGCCCGTGATTTAGCAAGGTTGGGCTAGAATTTTTCGAGCCCATTAAAAACGAGGCTTTTAAGCCCAGCCCGAGTAAGCCCATGGCCCGTGAGGCTTGACTGAGGCTGGATTGGGCCGGCACGTGGGCCTAATAAAAATAAGTATTTAAAATTTATAGAATATAAAAAGTATATGACACAAAAAATAACGCGAAGAGTATCACGAGCTTAAAGTTTATTAAGCTCATCATATTAAAAGATCAAAGTCTTAAAATGTTAATTAGTTTTAAAACTTTATTCTTAATATTTAACTAATTAATATTGCATAGGAGTTGTAGATGTAGATGAAAGTGAAGATGTTAAGATAACCTTCTCACAAGCGGATTCAAATCTGTGTTATGAAGAGGATGTGTTGGATATCCTATAAGCGTCATGGACGTTTGATTTGAGTTTTGACTTTTAGTGAATGAAATATAGTCTTGTCTTTTACTTTTTTAGCGTTTACTGTGATATATTGGAGCAGTATAAAAAATTATTAATTTTTGTGAAATTTTTTCAATAAGATTTTTTTTAACTTTTAAATATTTATCTTTTTTTAGGTTAGAACTTAAAGAAAAAAATATAAAATTATATTTTAAAAAATAATGGGCCGGCCCGTGGGGGCTCGCAACCCACGTAGGGCTGGGGTGGGCTAACCATTATAAGGCCCATCAAAATAGTGTGCTAGCCCAGCCCAGCCCGTCAATTGCTAAAGCCCGCGTGGGCGGGACTGGGCTAGCCCGGCCCCACCCATATTGACACCTCCACAGGCTTCTATATGATAATATCTTCCTCGCACCAAAATGTAGGCAAAGTGAAGATCTACTCATTTAACAAGCAGCGGTTTCTATAAAATCAAAAGATTGCCTATATGTTTCTTGCCACAGTATCATGCCTCCCTTGTTCATCTAACATAATAAAATGAGACGTCGGGTAGTAGCCTAGTAGCTACATTGGGTGCACATTCAAGAGCCTCATCAAATAAGTATACACAGCTAAAGCTTAAACTAACATTTGTCCAGTGTTCTCAAAACTGTACACAACCCATTGAAATCAGTGGCGGATGCACATAGGGAGTTGTGGGTGCTTAAGCACCCATTAACTTTGACCATATTAATAAATTTATATAGGCAACTGTACAAATATTTAGATAAATATTGAGCGAGCACCCACAAGTAAATTCATTTTTCCTCTTCTTTTGAAATTTTTATCGGCGAGCACCCATAACTTTAAAATCCTGGATCCGCCACTGGTTGAAATTGTTCTATTAATCTCTAGTTGTTCTATTTTACTGACTGAAACATCTCAATGAATCAATAGATATAAACTCTCTAATAAGCTACTATTCAAAACCCAAGGAATTACTAATAGAGAAACTTAAAGGATTCAGAGCAAGAGATAAAAATTCAATCAAAACAAAGAAGAGAATACTCACATATTTCTTGCGACCACTGCCCTCGTCGTCATCATCACCACGCCTCTCATAACTGGGTTTCCTGTAGTCCTCCTCCTCAGACCTTCCATAGCGAGGCCTCTCGTACCCTTCTCCCTCCTCAGTCTGGTAGCTTGAACGCCCATAACTGGGCCTCCTCTCCCCCTCTTCCTCCTGCCCGTAGCTGGGCTTCCTTCCATATCCACCAGATCCATACTCTTCGGACTCGGTCCTACGCTCATTACCCAACCCGTATTCCGAGCTTGGCTCCTCATATTCACTCTTCCTCCTGTATCCCGATCCGTACTCTGGAGCGGGTTCTTCAGACTCACTCTTTCTCCCATATCCAGATCCGTATTCTGATGTGGGCTCTTCATATTCGCTCTTTCGCCCATACTCGGATCCATATTCTGGTTTGGGCTCTTCATACTCACTCTTTCGCCCATACCCAGATCCGTATTCGGAAACGGGTTCTACATATTCACTCTTGCGGCCATACCCAGATCCATATTCCGGTTTGGGTTCTTCATACTCACTCTTTCTCCCATACCCGGATCCGTATTCGGAAGCGGGTTCTTCATACTCACTCTTCCGTCCATATTCACTTTCTCCACCATAGCCACCACCAGGACGATTCATCCCAGGCTGAAACCCATAATCGGCCTGAGGCTGCTCATAAGCTTCGCCTTCTTCCTCAGATGGGCGATGATAAGGAGCGGGCCGAGGTTTGGGCCTAGAATAGCTCTGGTACTCAGTCTCAAGAGCCTCTTCCCCATACGCAGAAGGCTCAGCATAAGAAGTGTACTGAGGACGATCATAGTCGAATTCATCAGAAGCTGAAGTACTCTGATAACAAGTTTCATCAGAGGGTGGAAGTGGACGACCGTAAGTCAAAGCGATGTCGTATCCACCACCGTACGGAGTTGGATCGTACTCGTCGAATTCAGCTCCGTCGTCATCTTCGCCGTGGTAGCCTTTTGGGTAGTAAGACATGGTTGTTGTTTGGGATTTTCTGATAGCTTCAAAATTGCGATTCTTTTCAAAATCTTAGATCTGATATTTGTAAGGAGCAGATCTCTCCCTATATCTTGGGCTCTAATTAGCACACTTCGATATGTGAACGTAACGGCGTCGTTCCACCGACGCCCATATCTTTTTCTTCCGCAAATTAAGGATACGTACCGACATCCTCTCCAATTTGTAAATATTACACGATTTCCTCTTTAGTATAAACTTCTTACAACAGAGTCCCTTATGTCTTTTTTTTTTGGTCCAAAGGATAACATTCTATTAAAACATATTACTAATAGTACAAGTAGTTGTAGTCAACCTATTTAGCCCTGGGGGGCGACCTCACGATGGGCAAAAAGGGGCATCCGGGGAAAAACTACTACTAGTAGGGACTATATTAGTAGTATTACACATAGGTTGAACAAGAGGTGTTTGTAAATAATCTCGAGTAGGAAGAGATGGTACACTCTTCTGACAAAAAACTTGCCTAAGCGATCAGCTTCCAGTGTTGTTTTAACAAAACGGGGTGGTTGTGTATATACAATGAGTCCTGCAGAGCTCTCTAGTTGGCTACCAAACTTTGCAAGTAGATCAGCAACTTGATTTGTTCCCTGTAGGTGTAAAGTACAACCGGATCATCCAATTGCGCGAGTAGAAACCTACAATCATTAATCATGTTAGTATATAGCGGATGCGATGTCTGCAGGAATTTAATGATAGTCTGGGCATCTACGTTCACTTCTATTGGTTTGTAGCCATGTATAAAAGCTAATTGCAACTTATGATAAAGTGCGGATAGTTCCGAGTCCACGCTCCCGTGAGAGAAATGGTAACCTGCAAAACCATAAGCCAAGTACCAACTGAATCACAGATTACTCCACCAATTCCGCCTTGTCCTGAGGGTAATTGTGTGGATCCGTCAGTGTTGAGTTTAAAAGGGGTGGAGTTAGATGGATGTCGTTTGATATAAAAGGGTAGATGGTCGTGGGAGGATGGTGGTGTAACATTAAGATAGTAGTATCCGGCGGCTATATTCAAAGTATGAGATGAAGAAGGTGGAGTAGATTAGGCTCGAAATAGTTTTTCTTTTCGAGCTAGCCATATATGCCATAGCAAAAAAGGAATGAGAATGGAGTTGGGTAAATTAAGGGAGTTGGGAACGTCATTGTGTAAAATGAGTTGGTTCAACCACTGAATAGGGGGGTCCGCATGACTATGTTGGGTAGCAAATAATGTTGCAATTTCCCGAGTCATATGAAAGTCAGACCATAAGTATGCAACTAGTAGGCATTGAAAGAGTATATGCTGGATAGATTCTGAGCTGATCTGGCATTGGCCGCAAAGGTCAGTCGGGAGAAGGCCTATATGGTGATAATGTGCCGTTGTTGGTAATCCATTGTGACCACATAGCCTTAAGAAATGTTTTATTTTAGGAGGTATGTGGAGGTTCCAAATCCATTTGAAGGAGTGGCTGGATGACTGCGGTAGTAGCTGATGGTACAGGGATTTAGTGGTAAAGGTACCGTGCCTAGTGAGGGCCCAAGAAAAGGTGTCGGTTGTAGAAGTGTATGAAGGGATATGTGTATTGATGATACGTTGGATAAGGGATGGGGGTAGTTAAAAATTATGGAGTTGAGATTCCATTGACCATGGGAGAGATAGGTAAAGAAAGTGTTGTTTATAGTATGTCATGGTAGGGGTCCAACTAGATAGTGACGAATTGGAGTATTGCACCGGAGCCAGGGGTCTTTCCAAAAATTGATAATTGAGTCGTTACCAATAATCCATCGTAATGCTTGTTGGCAGAGTTTCCATCCGGCAATTAAGTTTAACCAAATGAAAGAGCCTCCGGTGGTGTGAGGGCTACGGTGATAGAAGTACTTATGTAGTAGGGTGGCAGCCCATAATGAGGTGGGGGTGCTTGAGTAATCTCAAGGCTTGACTGGCTAATGAAGTTTGGTTCTTAAGGTGGAGAGGCTGAATGCCTAAACCCCCAAGCTGTTTGGAAGTAGTCATTGTGCTCCATTTGATAAGATGGATTTTCTTGCGTTGGGGGGTTGTACCCCAGAGGAAATTACACTGGTATCATTCAAGATGGAGAATGATATACTGGGGGAGTTTAATATATAGTATGACACGATTCGGTAAACTGTTCAGAGTGGAGTTGATGAGAGTAGTTCGTCCTGCCGGGCTCAGGAAGTTTGTTTTCCAACCCGCTAGCTTAGTTTTAAAATTATCAGTTAGGAATTGAAAATCGCATTTGGAGGGTCGGTTGATGAATAAGAGAAAGCCCAGATATTTTCCAAAGTAGGATCCCTCTCGTATGGTGATGTATGTGAGAATAGATTTTTTTATCTTGAGGGGTACAATTTTTAGAGAAAAATATTTTGGATTTTTGGAAGTTAATTTTTTTGGCCAGAGAGATGATTGAACTCATCTAGGATGTCAATTATGGTGTGGAAACTTTTGGCGGAGGTGGTGGATGCAAGAATAATGTCATATGCGAAGAACGTGTGAGAAAGTTTATCCATGCCGAGATAAACTGATAGGTGTCCATAACTGGTAGTCAATAGCCATACCAATTTTTCTAGTGAGTAATTCCATATATAGGATAAAGAGATAAGGGGATAATGGATCTCCTTGTCGAAGACCTCGTGTGGGATTAAAGAAAGGTGTGCGAGACCCATTAATAAGAATGGAGAGTGAAGTAGTTGTCACACATGACATAATGAGTTTGATAAGAGTTGGAGGAAAATCAAAATATTGCAAGGCTTGTCAGACAAAAGACCATTCAATACGGTCAAATGCCTTTTCTAAATCAAGTTTAAGTAGCTTGTAGCTGGTTTTGCTCGATTTGCACTTGAAGTGTGATAGAATTTCTTTAACAATTATGGCATTATCAGCGGCTCGTCAATTTTGTTGAAAGCTTGATCGAGTGGGACTGATAATTCTGGCCATTAGAGGTTTGATTGTATGGACTATAAGCTTGGTGATAATTTTGTAGATAGTGGAGCAAAGGTTAATAGGTCTATATTGTGAGATCATGGAAGCATGAAACATTTTTGGGATAAGGCAAAGGTATGTTTTGTTGGTCTCTGTCGGAATTTCATAATCTGGGAATATTTGTTTACAGAAATGGGTGACTTTCGGGCCCACGTCGGACCAGTAATGTTGGTAAAACAAAGGATGTAGACCATCCAGACCAGGTGCCTTAAAAGATTTGAAAGATCTAATAGCAATGGTAATTTCTAGGTCAGTGAGTGGACGTAGAAGAGATAGTTTGTCTAATGATATGAGTGTAAGGGAGTTAAACGTGTAGCAATGATTTAGTGGAGTTCGTGGTATATAAGGTGGTAAAGTAGTCACTGATCAGAGCATGGATATGAGAGTCGTCAAAGTACCAATTGCCTGCTTGATCTTGTAAGGCTATGATACAATTTCTACAACGACGTTGTAAGGTTAAAGGTGATAAAATTTAGTATTTGCATCACCATCTTGTAACCATTGAACACGTGATTTAAGCTTCCAAAATTCTTCTTCTAGGCGTAGAAGATCATTATATTCATTTAAAAGGGAAATTTCTAGATCTTGCAAAAATTGACTAGTGGGAGTGAGGGGATGATTGGATGCCTGCAAATCTAGCGAGCAAACATTTTTTGCGATGGAATATATTGCCAAAAGACATTTTATTCCAGTGCTTCATATTTTCTTGGAAGTAATCAATGGCTTCTAATAAGGAGGGGGCGGGGTGCCAACTGTCCTTGAGGATATGAATAAAGTCAGGTTGTGAAGTCCAGATAGTTTCGAATCTAAAGATGTTAGAATTAGTTCTACGTGATGGTTGTAGTGTGAGGAGGAGTTGGGTGTGGTCTGAGTGAGTTCTTGGCAAGTGTCGAACAATTCATTCTGGAAATAGTGTAACCCAGTCGTAGTTTGCGAAGAGTCTATCTAATCGTTCTAAAATATGAAAGCCATAGTGTCGTTTATTAGTCCATATGTATTTACTACCCTTGAAGCCAAGATCAATCAGGTTACAGTAGTTTATACAATCCGCGAACATATTGGGCGGGAGTTGTTCAGAGATCGTCCACCAAATTTCTCACTGGAGTGCAATATTTTATTGAAGTAGTGCCCAATGACCCATGGACCCTTATAATGATCAAAAAGACACATAAGATTTTTCCATAATAATTTGCGGTTAGCATGATAAGGGCTAGCATAAATAGCAGAAAAGCCATTTCTGGGGATTAGGGAGTACCTGGATCATGACGTGGATCTCCTGCTCTATCATAGCTATATTATAAACACTCAAGAGATGGTCATGCCAGAGCATGACTATACGACCTGCTTGGCCGTTGGCAGGAACCTCATAATAGTTGGTAAAACCAAAGTCGTCACGTAGTATAGCATGGTTGTGCATGTGAGTTTCAAAGAGAACTATTAACGTCGGGCCATGGTAGTCTAGTAGTGAACAAAAGTTAAAATCAGCATTGTTAGCACCTTGACAGTTCCAGAGCATAAAGTTCATGGTTGAAGAAGGTATGAGAGTGATACAGATGAGTCAGGGGGAGGTTGGGGTGTCTCCCTAGGGACTAGGGCAAGCTGAGTGTCCTCATGTGGGGGGTGGTACATTCCTCAGTGTCAGGATTAACACTATGGTGTATTTTCCTATCTGTGGGTTGATTGTTGGCCTTATGGTAAGTGAACACTTTGTGAGATTTGGTGGGCATTTGAGACGTACTTTTTTTTGTATATTGCTCCTTTAATACGAAGCCGTGAAGGTTGTCTAGAGTTGCATGGGAGGTTCTCGTCTCTCTCATTTCTATTAGTGTGGCCGCTAGGTCTTATTGTTGGGCTATAGCATCTAGTTCTAGAAGCAATGGTTGGGGCGGGTTGATCGGGCTGGGAGGGTAATGTAGTGTGCTCGGAGGACTATGTGGTAGCATCATGATGGTCGGCAGGAAGGTGAGTGACTGGTCGTTCCAAGTGACCTCCATGAAGGAACTTTCCAGGAGAGAATTCATGCAATGTGATGGGCTTTCGGAACTTTGACGATAAGGCACCGTTAATCTTCTTGCTAATAGAAGATTTGATTATTCTTGGTGGTTGTA